CCAGCCCTGTAGCTTTTGTAGGTATTGAGATGAAAATTAGGTACAGACGCATGCACAGACAACCCCTCGCCGATTTGCTTCTGCATTGCACAGCTGCAAAAAACGCGTAAAAAGTGCGAAAGGGGCAAATCAGTCGTTACCGTGAAATTGAATGTTTAGAATCAAACAAGAGGAAATTGCATCAAGAGTATTTGTACGTAAACATGCAAAAACGATTCCAGATTGATGGCCCAAAGAGGTGTACCACTCGAAACCGAATATGCTCGATATGCTGGCGTCCAAGGGCAGTGTCGCTTTCAAAACGGTAGCGGTACTATCAGTCAGTGGGTCAGCATTCCAGCCGGTTTCAAATCCATTCAAAGTTATTTAGTAAAGCATGGCCCGTTTGTGGGAAGTTCGTTTTCATGAATTTTATTTCAGTTTTTCCTAAAAGAAGAAGAGACAAAGGAGGGAAAGGAAAAAGTGGGCAGGAAAAAGAAGGGTGGGGAGAAACGCCGTAGCGAAAATAGCCAAGAATTTTATCCTTTCAGGACTTTTTACTTTGTTTTTCAAAACTTAGGTCCCTTTTGTCTCAAAAGTAAAACGATTTTATTAAGTGTTGATCAAAACGATTTAACGCAATCGCTCTTTGATATGTATACGCTTAGGTCCTAGCTCTCACCATGAATGCTTCGGTCACAGCATGATTACTGTTAAAAAAATTGCTCATGAACCCTGCTATAGGAAAGTTTTCAACTTTTCTCTTACTGATTCATAATCATTAGATTGCATAACAAATTTTCAACGATTTGATCATTCTAATTCATGGGGTGCTACTGAAGCTGTGCAGCTTGCGAATCTTCTCCAGTTGCTTTGATCAACACAGCAATTTAAGAATAAAACATTTTTCGGGATCTTCAGCAAAGGTAATGTACAAATGCATCAAATGTACTGATGTTTCAACTGTGCGACATGCGGGCAACATAAACGTAATATGTGTTACTGTTTCTGTTGCGCTACTATTCATATTATATGTACTCCATTTGTGAAATGTGTGTACGCTGATGTCTCTATGAATGTTGCATTGTCCAGTGTTCAGCTGCTGGTGATGGTCACTTGTAAGTTAAGTGCGCAGTGTTAATTATGCGTTTTTGCCGTGCAGCGCTAGAGCGCTGCAATAGGCAACAAAAACGCATATTGCAACGAC